ACGGCACTTGCAACACAAATAGGTCATATAAGCCCCGAAGATTAGAGGTGTTACAAGAGAGTAACATACACAGAAAAGAACGAGGAGAGATATGGACGGTTGATTGTTAATAGGGAAAAAAGGAACAAACCACACCCCAGAGCACCCGCCAACCTCCTGCTTGAGTTATACATATAAGATTGAAACTGCTTTCAACTTTAATCATTTTTTCCCCAAAGGCAAGTTACAGAACTCTTTAAAACAAAATAAGTGATGTTTTTCTTTTGAAAATCGGACCATTATTATGGAAAGTGTGCCCGTTTCTTTTTTGGGGTAATAGGCATTGGACTCCCGACGTCACGGTTATGACGTAATTAAACTGTAAATAGAATTTTACTCTTAATGTACTTGACTTTTATTTTTATATATTGATTCTACATAAAACAGCAAACAAAATGATACCTCAATGGTCACGATACAACTATTTTTAAGGATTTTATGACATTGTGAAGCAAAATTTCAAGTTTCGGTGGCACAAAATGCATTGCAAAAATTTGGCCAAATCAGGGCGAAAATTGATTCACAAAAACGGTCGTTGCTTCTAAACTAACAAAGATAGCACAAAAATTTAAGAAGCTCTGAAAACAGAAAGCCAAGCTCCTTTCAATAATCCAAATTTTAGTGCCCTCGGAGAAGTTTGAAAATTTCACTGAAGTGCCTAAATAAATCAAACCATTCCCTTCTGTGGTCTCAACTGGGGAGTCACAGGTTTAGGATTGCTGCAAGGCTAATTAAAAACGGATATTGGATTCGTTTGAAGGGGGGACAGGGGTGTGTGTGTTCTTGGTTTTTTTTTGTTTTTCTTAAGCTTTTTTAAAAAATTGATGATTTTCTGCAATGGTAAAATAAAACAAAATGTTTCAGACGAAGAAGACTGAGTGCCATGGTAAACCAAACGCTTGCCTCGCCACCACTTGGAGAATGAGCCACACTTCATTCGCAATTAGTTCTTGTTGATGTCCATTTTTATGTACAGATACTGGGTATAAACAGTAACCGCTCATCTCACTTACAATTTGTGTTTGAGCTGTGGGCAGGGCTTATAGGTTGTGACGGATCATATGCTTCCCCCACGCAACTGAAAATTTATTGCTTCCAATTGGTCAATAGTTGGGTAAACTGTGGGGATCTATACAACCTCAATAACATGATCGGTTCATTTATTGGAGGGAATAACAATAACCATATATACTAAATTATGATGGCTCATCCACAGCGTCAGGGGCCTACATGATTTATGACAAAGTGTCAGGCGATGAGAGATTTGTGTGGCCATTTTAGACAGGTATTTTTGGTTGTTGGCTGATAAAATATGGATATGGTGACTGTATGTTACCTGGACATGTGACCCCTTTACATTGTGAAAATATATCAAAAACACGATGGGGAGAATAGAAAATGGCTGTATACACGTGGCTGTAATAGTGTCATGGCAGGTTACGCTGTATTATATAGTTCAATTTTTATGTTATAATAATATGGCCATTTCTGTCTCTCGTATAAAGTACTTTCTTTAACAAACACACACACACACATATATGTGTTACGACACGGTGGAATAAGGCGCTCGTCAATTTTTGCGCATCTGGAGTTATTGGTATAATATTCAATGCTGTCCATTTTTGCCTTGCTTGTGATTTTTTAAAATATCCATTTGTCTCGGATGCAAGTCAAGATATATATAATATTGGCGATTGAAGGAGGGGGAGATCGCCTAGTTTCAGGGGTAAAATTAGAGAGAAAATATTATGGCAGCCAAAGTTGCGAGTTATAAATTTCCTTAGCCTGAGAGTCGGTGGGAACTGAAAATTTACATCTTTTATGCCTTTAATCAACGTTTTACAGTAGAATCCACACCGAAATGTGCCCATTGGAAAAATGCAAGTTTCTCGACTTTCATTATTTTGACGATCACCTAATGTCACCACGCTGCCTCATGAATTTATATATATGTAACCAATATTGAATATGTATAAATTGCCTTTCAAAATTTAGGAGATCCATTCGGAGTTGGTTTTTGAAAAACATGTATACTAAGGTCAGTAGCTCACAATAATTACACACTGTCACGCTACAACTACTATCTAAGACCTGCAATGTACTGCAAACCATGAAACTTTACATTAAGTTATATAATGTCACGCCCCCTAGCTGCCTACATGCAAGCTTAATTACACAAGACTTATAATAAGGCAAGGCAAGGCCAGTGGCACTATAAGGAAAACAGATAGTATAGGCACAATAAATGAAGAAGGACAGTGATTGTATATGTGTGTGTACTGTATGTGAGTGTGTGTGTACTGTGTGCGTGGATAGGGGGTCTGTGTGAATGGGTATCATGAGAAATGACGAAGAGGGGAGATTGGGTGGTTGTAAAGCTTGGGCTTGTAGGGAAATTAATGCTCACAGGACAACAGGTTTTATTTCAATGACCAATAGGTAGGTCTAAGAGGGCTAAATTTGCCAGCCACAGCCACAAAAGAAGCAAGTGGCTATTCTCTGGTATCCCGCCGGTCAATAGATCAACGGCTATTCTCCAGCGTCATGTATACTTATAGTTGCACATGTCGCTTCTCCACAGCTTATCACCTCCCCTGTCGGCACGTTATGACCTTACACAAACACTCATCAGAACATTCTTCAGAATGCGATTCACCACAGGTGGACACACAGCCACTTAGATACTCAATAAAAGCTCCAGTGACGGAAGAAGTAGGAATTTCTGTGTCAGAGGTGACAGCAACAGAAGCGCCAACAACCCTCAGTCACAACCAGAAGTACAAGAATGTGTGCATCTGGTCTGGCACTGAACTCAGTTGCAACAATAATGGCCCGTGCTGACAGGGGAGATGGAAAGCTGAGGAGAACCGACATATATAGATCTATGTGCAACTACCCAACAACAGAGAATAGCCACCGATCTATTGACCAGTTAGCCACTTGCGAAGAAAAACAACTGCATTCTTGAAACCAGTGGAAAAAGCCTATATCTTAAAAGTCTTGTATTCCATATTCTTGCTGCATGGGAACAGCTGCTACTTAACAAGTAAGCTATCATTATCAAGTGAAGTATAACTAGGCTGAGGATACTTCAACAGTCCAGCTCATCAGTCATCACACAGATCTGTTTTTATCATCCAATTTGGATTGAAAAATGATGCTAGATCTAACTTAAACCGAGATACAAGAACAAGTCAAGGCCAGAAAAATGTGTGTGCATTTTGCAGTTGCATCACGTTTAATAACGTTAACACTAGACTCTATAACAGGTGAACATTACATTGCTGCGGTCGCCTCGGTCGGAAAGGTAAAATTTGGTCCAGATTCTAACTCTGGAATGGAACCTAAAATAAAACGTAAGATACATTTCATTGCAGCATTGCTATACATGACCATAGACTAGATCTAGAGATCTAGATCTAGATCTAGATCTATAAAGTTAAGAAAGGGAAATCCAAAATTAAATAGAAACTTTTAAAACAAAATATATTATAGATCTAGATCTAGATTTAGATCTAGATCTAGATCTAGATTAGTTCATCTAGATCTAGATCTATGGCTTCCATGTTAGATCTAGATTCTAGATCTTCTTATATAGATCTAGCCAGGTTAATTAAATCAAGGAGTATACCTTAATAAATTAAACATGCAGCCTACCTGGTCGAACCGAGAGCCGTTCAGCTGAAAAGGTGGGTACGACATCTTTACCCTGTAAGAACAATCTGCAGCGATAAATAGGCCTAGGCTAAATTAGATTCTAGAATCTAGACTCTTTTCCAGTCAGAGGGTGCTTTTACTAGCCTATCGCGGGGCAAAGGCACAGCTGCAATATGAAATGCCATGTGCTGTGCCGACAAAGCTGTAAAGAGACTACAAGTAGGTCATGGAAGGCGAAGTGGAAAAATTGAGATCGCCCTAATTCTAATCTACACCTAGGCTAGTTATCAAGCGCCAGATGCGTGGCACAAGGCCGCGGTAAATCTGATCTAGAATCTGGACCTTGTCAGTCAGTCAGTCAGTGACAAGAGGGAAAAGTGGTGGACAGGGGCGGGACAGGGTCATGTGAGACTGAGATGTCAAGGGTCGGGGGTCAGGATAGGCCGTTCCAAAATAAGCCTTTGCAAGGCCAATGCCAGGCCAAAGTTTACTAAACAGCTTAGTTCATAGACTTGAATTATCACATAGATTAGTCACTGTCATGGCCGCTGCTTTTTGCTCTCTATGCAGAGTTTGCAGGGCCAACTCACACCATCAATGCAGATAATGGATGCTGCAAAGAAGTAAAAAAAAAAACAGCCCAAAAACAACACTAAAGAAGTCTATAGTCTCGATATATTCAAGTAAGTGAGCATCCTCCCCCCTCCCCTGTCCTCCATTCCAAATTAAATGAGATGACGATACGCTGTGTGAGTAAACCGGAAATACGTCAGAATATACATCTTGGATACAAGTCTATGGTCTCGCTGAGCGTTTGCATTCGAATTCTTTGCTGCCTGTTTGGCAAAAACCCTTTTGATTATAATAGGGCTTATATTATGGCAAAATTGCAGGAAGAAAAGAATTGAACAAAGGCTTAGCCTAACCTTAAGGCTCTAGTTTCTTGCACAGTGCAACTAGCTGGTCATTCCTGTGTGTTTCAGGGGAAAAAAGTTGGTTTAATCATTTTGACTTTAATTTGTGGATAATATTCGAACACAACTCGAACTTATTTCGGAGGTTATCTGCAAGTGTTTCTTTCGGTAAGTGCTTTTGTACGGCATTGACGTGAAGAAAATCATATTAATATTGATTTTATTCTCAGCTTGTCCTCAGTAGACCACTATGGGCTAGGTCTATTATTGTTTTTGGCTGTAGACTTATAATGAGCACAACGGTGCCGCTTCCTTGTTGATTTGTCATCGTTCTTGAAACCGATCTGGCAACATTGGACGAGCGGTAGATTCAATATGTCGGTCGGAACAACAATTCTGTTGTCAGTGTGTGCAGTTTGAATCCATCCAAACAACCAAGGATTAGATATGAAGATCAAGACTAAATAACACGCTGTTTTTGATTCGGAAGGAATAGTTATATCTATACCTTTTTGTAGAGGGTGCAGTTCCTTGAAGCTTTCTTCCATCCCGATTCTCGTCTTCTGTGAAGAGCAAAGACCAAAAAGTTTGAAAAAGTACCGAAGTCGGGCAAGTGAGTCAAAATGTCAAATTATGACAAATTAGCTTACTTTTGTGCTATAACTTAATCTTTTCTTTGCCTTTATCCATTTGATCATCCACATCGATAGAAAGTATTCCGAAATTAGGAAAAACAGGTCTTGTTTCACACCGGGTGAGAATAGCAAGTCTCACCTGGGGTGAGAGGTCGATCGTATTTCTATTGGAAGTGGCTATTCTCATCCGGGGTGAGAATAGAAAAACGATCTAGATCTAGATATCTAGATCTAGAAATCTAGATCTACCTCTCACCCCGGGTGAGACTTGCCAGCGTAGGCTATTCTCACCCGGTGCGAAACAAGACCTGCTTTTCCTCATTTTGGAATACTGTCTATCGGTGTGGATGATCAAATTGATTTTAAAAAGGAAAGTGGCTATTCTCACCCGCCCGGAAGTTCTCGCAAGATCTACTCCTCCCCTCTTCTCTCTCTCTCTGTCTCTTTCTGAAAACTGTCTATCGGTGTGGACGATCAAATTGACCAAAACAAAGTTTAAAAATGATGTTAAAAAACCAAGGCCGTCATTATTCGGACTCGAGTCCGAATAAGAAAAAATGTTATTCGGACACGGGTCCGGAAAAAAGTAAGTGTCTTCATTCTAGATCTAACGTTCAGTGCTTCCAATTTTCCGCCATTTTTTAGTTTCCCCCACACCTTGTCTGCCGATCCGATGCCCGCCGCCTCATTGATACGCCCCCCCCACCCCCCATGTTTCCCACTTTCTTTGTTGTAGAAAAAGGTAAAATTGAAGATTAGCAGATCTCCTGGCACCTGCATAGTGAGCTGTGTAAAAAAAACCGCAGTGGCTATTTTTACGATGACTATTTCTCCGAATGGTTTCCGTTCTCGAGATGTTTGGTTATTTGTGAGATTTAGGCGTCATCTTTCATTTTGCCATTCTGCGAGGACTGGGAAGAAGCATTTTTTGCATCAAATTCAATTTCTAGAGCTCGAGATGTCTGAAAATTCAGATACTTCAGTTGTGGTTGTGGCAACGTTCCCGGACTCTATACTTTATTTGAAAATGCCTTCCTTCCTTCATCTGGCTGGCCTCCGTAAGGAGGGCGGCAGTCTGCCAAGCAGCAACCTCTTGTGGCCTCGTCCAGAGTACATCCGGGCCCGGTCTCGCGTTGTTCTTCATAAGTGGGCCTCGATGTGCTTCCCCCCGCGGGCACTCACACAGTGCGTGCTGCAGGTCGTCAGGACTTGTGCCAGACAGGAATCATTGGGAGCAGAGCCTATTACATGGAGGTACGTCTGGAGGATGGGGCTCTTCGCGTTGCATCTTGATCTTAGGCAGCTGCGATAACACTCTTTTTCTGTCTGACGGTAAGGTCTCTCTCTTTGTCCCTCTCCGGTGGTGGCTTCACCTTTCCCCCGACGCAGTCGTGCACTCGCGCTTTTTCTCCCATGCGTGGGCAATGATGTAACGCGAGATGCACAAGCTTTCTGACGCAATATGGACTGGAGTGTTGGATTGGTCGAGGCGGCGTGGTGTTATCATTTGGGGCCTGGTATGATTGGTAATAAATGTTTTTATGTTGTATGCCAGATTTTATCAGACTTATGATTCCTCCTCTGGCTGTGGTATCCTGACTGGTTCAGGTGACAGTTCGATTTGTCTTGATGGAGTAATCTGGTTTAAAGTTTGTTTCCTGAATGATAAAAATGTCAATATCACGTTCTTGTGCCAACTTTGCCAGTTTGGCGCGTTTCTCGGTGTTGAGTCCGTTGGCGTTCCATTAAATGATTCTGAGTTCAAAACTTGGCTGTGACTGAGTTCGCGACAATTGGGGTGGTTGTGTTTGTGTTCCGGTAGGCGCATTGCGATGCAAATTTTGGGAATGTTGGGGTATAAGAAGGGAGGCGATTCGGATAGGGGACGGCACGGAGCAGGCCGGGCAAGCCCAAGCGTGGTTGTGGGAGAGACGTCGAATTTCTGGGATTGATAGGCCACAGCATTTGCTGTGTATCCATTTGGCACGGGTGGTGCATCGGATCGAGTAACCCCAATTGGTCACGTTCCTGTTGCATATTGTGCATGGGTACATCTCATCAGGTCCAGGGTTGATTTCGACGTCACCGGCCATTATTTACAGGAGACACAGATCAGCCACTTCGGCTGAGCCTCCGGACAAAATCTCGGTCGCCTCCGTTCCTGTCTGAATCCAGGGGTTGATTGGCGTTCGGCCCGGAGCTGTACTTGTTCCGGGATCTGCAGCACCGCATAGAGGTCCCAATAATGACTGCAATGCCTTCTAAAGTAAAGGTACTGCGAAAACACAAGACTGTTCAACCTTGGCAGTAACCTATTTTGCATTTAGTCATCCAGCGAAAGATGAAATCCTGCGCTGCATGTAAAAATTAAAAAATTTCTCCACGCCCCGTTCACACCTTAGGCCTACACTCACAGACACACACACACACTCTCACAGACACACACACACACATACGGGCCACTACATTCACAATTATAAACAACAAATCTCGAGAAAGGAAACCGTTCGCAGAAATAGAGTTCAAGTTATTTAAATTTTCTCGAACGTTCAGAGAAATAGAGCCTCTGCCTAAAAATAAAGTCGGAGGTTTCAGAGGGGGGGCCCCTGATTTTACCATAATTTGATGTTTTGCAGTTGTTAGGTTTGATATCTTAGCTTGCCGCGCATCAAACGTATAGATCTTGATGTAGATCTAGGCTCATATAAGGGGGGTGGGAACTACTGAAAAAGCACCGTTTTTTCAACAGGCTTTTTTTTATGACTTTGTGCAAGGATGAAATAAAAGGAAATGTGTTAGATGAGGAAGACTGAGTGCCATGTTAAAACAAACGCTGGGTCACCGTGTTCTTTGTCTGTTGCGCTTCTATCGCTAATTCATGTTGGTATCCATTTTTCTTTGTTACAGACTGGGCTGGGTAGACAGTGACCCCTAACTTATCTGACTTAAGATTTGTGTAACTGTATGAGTTATTGGTGGGGTTTATTGGACTGGTGAGGGATATTACGCTTCCCTCAACAGTAGCCGAAAATTTATTGTACCGATTGGTCAACAAGTAGGAGGGGCCGAAGCAACATGACCAGTACGAAGGACTGACAATAACGACAGGTGAATGGATTGTGACGGCTCGTCCTCCAGGTCAGGGACCAAAACATAATTTATGACAAAACATCAGGTGATATGAGAGATTTGTGTGGCTGTCTAAGATAGTAGACAGGTTGCATTTTACACATGGTGAAATTAAATAGAAAAAACGCAAGGGGGGTGGGGTGTGTGAAAAGTGGCGGTATTACCAGTAGCTGCCATTGCAGGTTCTACTGTGTTTAATTTAGTTTGCTTACAATTATTTTGAAATGCATGACTTAATTGTCTTAGTTTTACTTTGTCAAAGTTTGGTTGACTCTCATTCATTATGATTCTTTTCCATTTTTTGTTTTGCTACAGTTTAAAAAATCAAAGCCTATCCATCTAGAAGATGGACACTCCTCTTGCCAAAAAGCAGCCAAGGAGGAAACTTCAAAAGATCATCAAACGAAAAAGCAAAGTCACACCAAACGGGTCTTTGTTATATCAAAAGAAAGTAAAAAGTGCCATCAACGTGAGCTGTAAGTATGCTGAGCTTGAAGTTAAAGCTTGGGTTGATTTAATAGATCTATATGTAATTAATATATGGTTGGAGTTCTAAGAATTTTATATCACCATTACCTTAGTAGTAGCAAAGCTGATCCTGATCATCGCCTTGTGTTCTGAACGGACAGGACCCTGGGCGTGGAGGAGAGAGTACAAATGAGAACCAATTCCAGTTTACAAGGAGTAGGAGGGTACCCTCTTTGAGCTTCAATTTAGATATGAAGATGACGTAAAGCCTACAAACTTTGCAAGCATGAGAGAGATGAAGCTAAAGATACATTGTTAGGTTCAGTTTTACACAAAACCGCTACTTAGAGTTGAAAATGTTTTTAAATCACCGGGAAAAGTGAGGAGATTTTGAAACCACTTGAGGCGTGTATGTATTTTTTAGTAGTTTTAGTAGAGGGTTTTACGGCACTCGGAACTGCATAAGGCATAAGGTCATATGAGCGCCAGAAGATTAGAGGTGTTACAAGAGAGTAACAAACATAAAGAAGAAGAAGGGGAGATAAGGACGATAGACGTTTTATAGGAAAGAAGAAGCAGCAGACCAAACCAGAGCACCCGCCAACCACCCACTTCGTGTATGTGTAATAATATTACATATGTAACTTCATACAAGTCGACAGTTTTTTTCTTGTATAGTCCATATTTTCTTTAAAGTTCGTTGGAAAGCCGTTAAAATTTTATTCAAAGTTAGCGTAATTTCAAAGTAGGGGCCCTCTGTGGCAGGGATTGAGATCTCTGCTTATCGATCGATGCTGTGTCATGGGAATAAACTGCTACACTTCTTATCAGATGTAAATGTGAGAGAAGCCACTGTCTGTGGACTCCCATACACTTATAAATATATATCGTAGGCGTATTTGAAACTTGCATTTATGTAGGGTGCGGATGCAGGGTTGTCAAAGGCAAAGGATTTGATTAAAGATGAAATAAAAGAAAGCTTTCTTCAATGTTTACACTGCAGGGTGGTTAATATTATTAATATATAATATGTACATGATGATGCACTCATGGCTGCATTTTGGCTTTTCATTAAAAAATTATGGTAGGGTGCCAGGTTTCATTGCTAAAGTTGATAAGTTCGTAGTTTATGTTTTTTTCTGTTTGAAAAGGAGTAAAATACGGTACCATAGAAATCAGTCCGTACCCTCTGCTATATTTCATGTACAAAAAAATGTACCAAAAAGGGCTACTTTTTTAAACTAAAAAAAATTCTGTTAAAAGTAATTTATTAAATGATTTTCAAAATTTAAAAAATTTGAAATAAAAAGTAGGTGCGTTGATCATTGCATTCAAAACAAAGTGGAAGAAAAGTCTGTCGCAAGTGCAATTTATTCTCTCTTGTAACAATTCTTTTTCAAGGTTTTTGAATGGAAGAGTCATTGCCTTGTTAAAAACTCAAAGCCTGCAATTGAATACTAATCTTCATCAGAGGAAATTAATTTGAATTCAACTATATTATGTGAGAGTGTAAGTAACATAGATTTGAAGACAAATTTCGCATTTTAAAAAATTGTTCAAGCTTTGCCTATCAAAGGAAATTGTTCGTTCCCCCCAACCTAAATAAGTCCTGTGATTCAATCATACAATGTATAGAAAAGGTGTGTATATAACTTTGTTAAACAGCACAATTCAATTTAAAAATGCTATTCAAATGTATGTCATTTATTTATAAATGCTGTTTTCATGGAAGTCTACTTTATAAAATGGGCATATTTAAATGTTTTTGTGATGTGGGCCAATGCCTTACATTGAATTGAACACCTACCTTACAGATGAATAAAGTTTTATGGAATCTTCCACGAACAGGTTGCTAATGAATGTTATTCGTTATTCAGGTGTGAACAAATGGCCTTTAGAGATATCCCCATTTCCTTTGCTTTCTTATACTTGACTGTACTCATTTAATAGCCAAAATTTCTTTTTCTACAGTGAATGCAACTCAAAGCTTAAGAACCCTCAAAACAAACAACAGAGCCCTCGCAACAAAACTTGAAAATTTGAAGATGGAAATGCGATACATGTCAGATGCCCACACTGGTTTGCTTCAAAAGAATCATGAGCTGTGTGAGAAAATTCTCTCCCTGGAAAGACTTATTGAAGATCCATCGTCTTACATTGAAGAAGAAGTCGACAAAAGAAATGGGGTATGTAACGTTATGCAACATTCTTCTTTGGCCTATACTGCTTATTACTGAAAAATTATTTAAGAAGTATTTATCATTATATTTTTTTTTGGAAGGGAGGGAGGTGGCAGGGTCTTGTTCATTGTAACAGTTTCTGCTCAAGATGCAGTTTTGAAATATTTAACAGTGGAGTGTCATTCAAATAATCATTTGCTTTCATTTTGATTATGATTGTTCATGTGCCCCCTATCCCCTGTAATTTTCACTTTTCTTGCTTCTTGATAAATTAATACAATTAATTGCCTTCTTCGATTTCATGTTGTTGAATGAAAAGTTTATAGACTGCTGCAAGGAAAGCATAGAAAAATATAAACTACATTGCTGAAGTTTTTTGGTATATCAATTTTACTAAATAACATGCTTGAAACTGATTACTGTTGAACCTGCCCTGACGGCCACCTCTATAAGACGGCCACCTGTACAAACGGTCACTTTCCATTTCCCCTCTTGCGTTTTTTCTATATAATTTATCTGTGTAAAACGGGCACCTGTCCAAAGCGGCCGCGGCCACCATAATTTAACACACAACCCCTATCATACTAAGCAATATACCTGTCTTAGACGGCCACCTTAGTGACTTCATTACGTTTTGTCATAAATTGAGCATTGGCCCCTAGCGTTGTGGGCGAGCCGTCATAATTCAATCGCCTGTCGTTGTTGTTTGGTAGTCACTCCAACCGATCATGTTGCGTAGGCCCCTCCCACTGTTGACCAATAGCTGCCAATTTTCAGCTGCTAGTGAGGTAAGTGTGTGTTCCCTCATAACCCATAAGCCCCGCCCAGAACTCATACACAAATCGTGAGATGAGTGGTCACTGTTTACCCAATCTGTAACAAAGGACGTCAACTTGAACTTGTTACAGAAGCGTCGCTCGTTCTCCAAGTGGTGGCAACCCATGTGTTAGTTCTAACATGGCACTCTGTCTTCCTTGTCTGATACATTTAGTTTTATTGTCTCCCTTGTGCAAAAATCAGCGACAAAATAAAAATTACAAACCACCAACAAAGACAACATAATGGGGCTACTTCCGATTGGGGCCTCAGATGGGAATGGTTTGTTTTCTTTATCTTGAACAGTCCTGCCTTAGACGGCCACCTGTCTTATACGGCCACTTTTCTCCTTGACAATGGGTGGCCGTCTTACACAGGTTTGACTGTATTTTTAAAAAAAATTTGTTTACTTCTTTCAGCTCCTCTGTTCTCAAGTCAAGACGAAGCTCAGACAGATGAAGTCCAACGTTGACAGTTTTCTTGAAAATCTGTTGGACTTGTCAGAAATTTGCTCCATGAGCAATTCCACTTCAACTTCTGATGAGCACCTTAATTGCGAGACCTCACATTACTCACCAGAGCCAAAAGCTGCCCCAGAGGGTCAGTTTAGGTAAGGAATGTCCAGAACGATGTATTTCTTTTAGAATTGTAGATCAGCCCTAAAAAATTATGTTTGCTTTACTTTTTAGATGAACGATCGTCTTTTGACTTCTCAGCCATGAAATTTTGAGGTTTTATTCTATTTTTAGAATTGTTTTGTATGTGAGTGTGAGTATGAAAGCTACTTTTGCCATTTTTTTAGTCAAAGCAGTTTCGGGGCAATTTAAACTGTTTTATTTCACAATACAACAGAATCTGGGGGGGGGGGGGGGGGTGTGAGAGAGGGGGGGGGGGAGAATGAGAGAGAGTATGTGTGTGAGAGAGAGAGGGGGGGGGGAAATTAGGGATAGAAATTAAAAGGAGTCTCATTCTGTTCATTGTCATCTTCATGCTCTAAGAAATACCGAGTCTGTAGTTGTCTCCGAAGGATTGGCCTTAAAATTGATGCACACTTGGAAGGAGAATTGACCCATCAAGACATTATAATCTTTATCGGAAAAAGTACTTACTGCAATTTTAATTTTGTTATTCATGTACCTGGCTATCCTTGCACACACTTCAAATTAACTTATTATTTAACGAGAAAGAAACTAATACTTTTAAAGACAGTCCATGTGAGTAGTCAGTGTAGTAGTGTGATATGTATAGAGATGAAGACCTTGACATGGAGGAAGTTTGTGAGTTGAAATGAAGGCTATCCTGAATCCACTCCCCCCCCCCCATCAAAATGGCCATTGTCTGTGTCTGATTATTTATGTTGTGGCTCTAGGGACACTTGTAACTCATCTTCAGAACTAACTTTCCACAGTTAGAACACACAGACGATGACGTTTTTTTTTTTCCTTCAGATTTTAGATGAAATAATTTCCATACTCGTGCCTCTTAGTTTTAATACTTATTTTCACATGGTATGTTTGTTAATGTGACTGAGCATGTCCTGGGGTCTACATTTTTTCAGTAAGCCATTTGGGGGAGCCCCTCTATACTCCACCATGTTCAGTGGTGTGGAAGCAGCCTCACAGCAAACTCTGGGAGTAAACGAGATGACTATGATCATGGAACAGTCCGCTCTGTCTTCTCCCAACCGCAGAGCAAATGTTAGCAGTGGTGATCTACCGTCATGTAAGCAAGCAGTTTCTTTTTTGTGTGGTTGCAGCTGATGCTTTCCCTTTTCAGTCAGTTTTCAGTTGAACTGGCTTGATGCACTTTCTTCTGCACAGAGTTTAGTCTGCATATTCTTATAGCAATGAGTCATGATGCTGTGGAATCAGGCGACTGTCAATTTTTGGGCACATGGAGATATAGGTACCATTAATTTAAGGCTTGTTCATTTGTCTTGCTTTTGATGATAAAAAATACCTGTCTATCTTGAATAGAGGTTGAGATTGAAAGATTCAGAGATAAATTTGTGAGAAAATGGCCACTATTGTTGGGTGACTTCCTGTGCTTGAGAGTCCCTGGAAACTGCAAAATTAAAAGTATTTGTATCTTTAATTGTTTTTCCAGTAAAATCCACAGAGAAATGTGCTTTAAACAAGCGGGGGGAAAATGCTGATTTTTTTTTCTATTTCACTGTTTTGACGACGAGCACCTGATTTCACCATGATGCATGCGTCAAGTTTAGAATTTAGGTTTATGTCTGAGTTTCTATTTCGTTAAGTGTTACTACAGTAGAGAAAAATTGCTAGTTTTTGCAGGCAAAGCTAGCAATGTTAAATGCAGGAGTTGTTTTTTTTTTGGGGGGGGGGTTTGTAATCTTAAAATTCATTTACTTTTTTTTTTACCCTCACCCTTGTTGTTTACAAGAGAACTAATTTTGGTCTAATTATCAATTATAATCATAGCTATGTAAAATGAACATATTTTTAACATTGTCTGGGTGTCTTTTTTTTGTCTTTTTTTTTTTCCCCTTTTGTATTGGAAAATGCATGTATTCTTTGTGTTCTATTACTCCTCCGTACGGAATTGCCAATGCTGTAATAATATGTGTCACGACTCAGTGGAATCAGGCTCTTGTCAATTTTTGGCCATGTGGAATTATTAGTGTCATCTGAAAGCTTATTCATTTACCTTGCTTTCAATGGAAAAAATACCCGTTTGTCTTGAATAGAATCGAGATATTTGGGATTGAAGCAGGAGAGGTTGCCTGCTTTCGGTTGTAAAATTAGCGAGAAATTGGCCACCAAACTTTGGTAACTTCAATAGCTTGAGAGTCTTCGAAAACTGAAAAAATGCATATTTTATGCCTTTACTCAACGGTTTTCCAGTAAAATTCATACGCAAATGTGTTTTATGTGGACATGAAAGGTGTTGAGCCAAAAAACATAAAAATGATTTTAAAAATTCCTAAGATGGAGGAAAAATGTCTGTTTCTTCGATTTCATTATTTTGAAGAGCGCCTGATTTCACCACGATACCTCACACATTATGAACTTTCTTGACTGGATTTCCAATTATTCATGAGAATGAAGCCCATAAGTTAATGAGAGTCGTATTCCTCACCTTTTCTCTTCTTTATTATCTGCTTTGAATGAAAGACTTTAATATCACTTAAAAGTCCAATTCTGTGGCTTTGAATAGCTCGAATTTTTATGGAATGTAGAAATGTGTATGTGAATTTTTGGAGGGAGACTTCAAGCTAATGCCCACCATCTTTACCCATCGCGTCAGTATTTGGGGGAGGGGGGTGGGTGGTTTTGAGAAGTTGGCAGAGCAGCTTTGAATTTTTGTCTTGAATACTAATCCAATTACCCTTCACTGCTGTCTGCCCATTTTTCTATTTTGCAACACCTTTCAGGGGTTTCTTTTTTACAAATTGGATGGGCACATTAATTAGAATGCATATTCGATTCTCATTGTGACTGCATTCATTTCAATGGTCTCTTCTGTGTAGCAGTTTTATCATTTCTTTTGACAGTGCTTTGTCTCATTCTTGTAATTGAAGTTCATTTAATCTTTAATGTATTTTATGTTGATTTCAGTGGAGGAGAATGATCCAACATCCCCAACACTCTCTGGTCCTGTGAAGACAGTTCAGTTGGGTAACTACTCAAAGTTACCTGTGCGTGTTCCCAAGACCTCTAGCCTTGATGGAAGTGGTGTCAATCAAGATGTCCCTGATCCTACTCTCCATTTGAAAACCAAAAAACCAGTCAGAAGGGAAACTTTCATTGTAAATCCAAGTGGCGAAGTGGGAGGAATAACAGATACGACTGCCCCTTTTGATTTGGTACCAAGTTCTGAAATTGATATATATAACAGCCCATCCGAAAGTCTCAAGAATGATAAAGATTTTGGAAGAGAAGATAAGCATGTGCCCGAAGAAGAGAGTGCCATTGTTTCTAAAAGGCAAAGCAGAAGTCGAAGTCGAGAGCGAACTGAGAGTAAAAACAAAACATCGAGCCAAAAGATGCAAAAGCAAGGAAGGGTGGCTTTGAAAGACGTGAATACAACAGTTAAAAAGAGCACCATTGCTCCAGTGTCAAAGAAACAGGACCTCTATATAGCAAATGAATTTGACTTAATTAATTCTCACAAAGAAATTATGCACAAATTTGAAACTTTGAAACAAACCAAACCGCAAGTAGTGGAGACGCATGCTCCAACATATGGACCCTTTGAGTGCGAAGAGCCTACAATCCATGCTCTTGCTGACATGGAACTCACTATTGGAATTGACAGTGAAATGTTAAACCAGATGGAAGAGTCTACAAAAACAGAGGCGACATCTTCGTGTGACGCTAACACTGAGGAGACCTCAAGAAGCACTCTTGGCGGTGCTAGAAGCCGAGGTAAAAATACTGATACATCTCTCTCGGGAAGTAGTGGAGAAAGTGCTTGTGAGGAAAAAGTGCCTGGTGCTGTTACGTTACGATATGGTAAACCTGGGAAGTTTGTCTTTGCGGCGGCAAGAAAGGAAGAAGATGGTACTCGCAAAAACATTCCTGTCAATATTCCTAGGGCAAGATCCAAATCAAAAAAGCAAATTGCAGAAATGATTGACAACTTGCCCCAAGAAGAGCCGAAGTCAATATTTGATTTTCATGACAAAACACCTAGAATCAATGCTGAAAAAACTAAAGAATTTTCAGTTTACAACATATCTGCAGATGATTCGAATTTGTCTCCATTGGTCCCCTTGAGCAGGAGCAGGCGTGCGCAAAAAGCTGATATCCAAACATTTGAAAATAGAACATCTCTTCTTGATGAAGGTGAAAGTTACTCAGAAGCCTTGAAAGATTGCTCTGCTTCCTCAAAATCTAAAGACGATGGATTTGGGAAACCCACTAGGTCTCGCAGAAGCAGAAAAAAATCTCAGACACGTGACAGCTCAAATCTTAATGCGTTAGGTGATGATGAGACAGCAGAGAAGGCTGCATGTGTCCGAGAGAAGGAAAGAAAGAAGTCCCAGGCTAGGGGTGAAGCTTCTTCTGATCTTGGAAAAAGAAGCCCCAGTCCCCAAAAGAGAGGGGTGTCGACAAAGAGCAGGGGTCGGTCACGGAGTAGGCGCAATATGTCATCGGAGCCAGAAGACGACAGCAAAGAAGCCTTGTCAGTTGTGAACACTGAAAGCAGGGTTCCAGAGACTGCTGAAATAAATCATTTAGATTTATCTTCGACAAAAGTATCTGAAAATGATGGGCAGGAATTGGGAAAATGTGAAAGGAGTGGAATGATTGGGGAAGGAATTTCTTATGAAGAACCTTTAAAATGCAGTCCTGTTGAACGGCGAGGTATTTCTGGAAGAAAAAGCAGAGGTCGATCTCGTGGCAAAGTGCCTAAAAGCTCTGACTCTGATGGCAAGGATAATAACGATACTATCGAAATGATAGAAAATTCTAGGTATCAAAGCAGGAAACTATCTGAAGTGGACCAAGTGTCATCTGTTGGAGCTGAGAATGCTTCCAAAGAAATGCTCAAGTCTTGTAAGAAAAGTGGGAAAAAATTACTAGGTGAAGGAATTTCTTATGTGGAACCTCTGAAATGCAATAGCCCAAGTCCGCAAAGGCAAAGGACCAGAGGTAAAAGCAGAGGTCGCTCACACAGCAAGACAGCTCACAGTCCAGTCTCTGAGGGTGAAGAGAAGAACCCCTCAACTGCCAAAGTCACAGTGCGCTCTCGCAGTAGTAGAAGGAAAATATACAGTTTCCAAAACAATGAAGAAACCGGTCGCAGCTCTGAAAATACTACAAAAGAAGTCAATTCTCCAAAGAGAGGAGTTCTTGATGAGGGAATCACGTATGAAGCTCTAAAATGTGATAGTCCTAGCCCTCAAAGGAAAAATACTAGAGCCAAGAGTAGAAGTCGTTCTCAGAAGAAGGTTGAAGAGAAGAGCGAACCCAGTTCTGAAAAAAACACTGCAGAAATGTCCCCTTGCTCTGGGGGAAACGTTCTTGGGAAAGGAACCACTTTTCAGGAGCCATTAAAATCTGTGAGCCCCAGTCCTCAAAAGAGAAAATCTAGAGCCAAGAGCAGAGGTCGTTCTCAAAATAAAATTGAACGGAAAGAAACCTTGAAGAACACAAATAATGATGAAAGAGATTCATCTAATATTACACTGGTCACAACTAAGGATTTAATAGCTTCAGATATAGTTCACAGCATATCGCCACGCCAGTCGCCATTGCCCCAGCTGCAAAGAAAAGAGGAAAGTGTGACAGAGGATGAGCGTTTTACCAGTGACAAGCTGTCTAAGAAGAAACAACCAGTTTTGCTGACTGAATTTTCAGATTCCACACGTTTGCGACATGATAAGAGTCCCCTGCGTGTTGTCCCAGGAACTAGTTCCCCGAAAATCAAGTTGATGGAAAAAAGTCATAAGAAAATAGTAAGTAAGGAACCCCGCAAAGTACAGACACTCAATGAAGTTGGTCAGGGTGAGGCACCCAATACGGCCTTTGGCAAACACTTGGATAGTCCAGATGGTATTTCTCGCCCTGAAGAGCCCCAGAAAGAAATGGTTGCTTCTAACAAAGAGGGAGCCCGAAAGAAGTCAAAGCCTTTACGTCTCAAAGAACAAGAGGCCATTGTTGTGGCCAAAGATCAGATTCAGCTGAATTCTCAAGCGAAGGTGGACAAGTCAGAAGACAACTTTTCCAGAAGACAAAAGTCCAGAGGCAAACGCATGGATACAGCCACGAGTTGCGAGAGTCAGGATGCCTTCACTGATCAAGAATTGGCTCAAGAGAAAGAGGATTCAGCTGTGGTATGTGTTGTGGGTTTATTAGTTTAAATATTATTGTAGGTGTTGCAGGCCTATTTGTAGAATCTTCCTCTGTTCCTTGCTGGGTTTTTTAATATTTTTTTATTTTTGTAGCAGAACTACCTGTGTTGCTTCCACAAGATTAGTACAAGGAAGACTGTAGATTTTTCTGAAGTTGATAAAACAAAGAAAAAAAAAATCATATATTGCAAAAATCTAAATAGTTGGATGTGCTTAATTGGCTTTAATTCTCATGCAAAGTGAACTTTGTGATACTTTGTCACACAACATAGGAATTTCCTCTTGTGAAAGTCAGTAGTTTTGGTCCTTCCACTTGGGTGGTTGGCAGGTGCTCTTGTGTGGTTTGCTCCTTCTTTCCCATCAAATATCTATCGCCCTTCTAAAATATCGCCTCCTTTTTTGTGTTTTTTACTCTCTTCTATAACACCTACAATCTTCAGCACATGTATGACCTTATTTTGTTGCAAGTGTTGTAAAACTGTTAATAAAACTCACTAAACTGCTTTCCCTTTCCATACTGTTTTCTATTTTGTTCTCCTTGTTTTTGATGCACTTATTCTTTTGTCCCTGTGTGTACGTTTTATTTTTATTCACTGTCTGAGGTTCCAGCTGTGTTCATTCTTGATTGAGCAGGTTCAATTTTGACTGCACTCTATGAAATCCCAAAATGGGGACATTTACATGTTCTTTTGCAGAGAAGAATTGTCAATGGGCTGATCCGTCAAGGTCATGCTCATAACTGTGCTTGAACCGCAGCAGGGAACTGCTGCTTTTTCTTTCCTAATCCTTACTATCGTCATTTTCCTCTACTTCTTTCGTATGTTTATCACTCTCTTTTGACCCGCTATTTCCCGCGTGCCTTAATAGTCGAAGCGAACTTTGTGCTGTTGAAGCTAGAGAGGTGAGCAGAGTAAGCCTGATTCCTTGTATGGACTTCTCTGTTGACATCCACCTCTTGGCGGTCATATGACTTTATGCAGTTGTTAGCACTGTAAAAACTCTACTTAAACTAACGGGGAAAAACCCTCTACGAAATGAGAATAAGAAAATTTTAAAAGCGCTCTGGTGTACCAAATTTCATGCAAAATCATTTGTTGAGAGATGAGCTGTTCACCCTTTTCCTTTTATTCCAATACAGGAGGATTTTCACTCTCAGTGTGAGGAGCTTCTGCAAAGAATGAAGTCGATGAGAACGCCATCTTTGTCAGGGAATAAAGAATCCACAAGTGTTGATGGTGCCTCTCCAAAGAATACTTTGGTGCCCAGTAAACGATCCTCTCCTCCTCCTGATACAAGGTACACTCACGGCAGTTGGTGAAAAGATTGCTTGTTTGTGAAATGTTTGTAGCAAGGAATAAGGTTGTGGGGTTTTTTTTGTTTGTTGTTGTTTTTTGTTGTTGGGGGGGGGGGGGGCAGGGGGATTGCATAAATCTGTTTCAAATTTTCTAAATATTCATCTTTTTGGAGGGGGAGGGGGGGATATGATACAATGCGCACAACTGTTCAGGCACAGAGGAGCATAGCGTTAAATACAGTCCTGTGCTGTCAGGTTCCCTAGCTCTGCATGTTTTAGTACTATTTTATTCAAATAATTATTTCCAGAGGAATGGGAAAGAGATCAAATTACACGAACAGGTGTACCAATGGATAATATGATAAATCATAAGTTTTATTGAGTGCTGCAGCTGTGTCGTGTTGCTTGTTTTTTCAGATTTCTTTCTTTCTTTCTTTTTTTTCCCCCTCTTTTAGTGGGTAACTGATATGCATTGAAAACTTGAATGCGCTTGAACTTGTGTTAGATATACAGTGGAGTCCACTAATAACGAGTCCGGAAAAAACGAGAAGTCTGTTATAAAGACACTATTCGAAAACCCAGTTTTTTTCTCTTCTTTACCTTTGTAGATAAAATACTGCTATAGCGCTATCAGACAAACATGCGAGTCGGTTATAGCGGACTATTGCTGCTGCTATGCACAGGCATAGGCCAATTATACACTATGTAAAAGGTCGCAGGTTGAGAAACTTGTTGGTGATCTAGCGAAACAAAGAATGGGAGAGCCAATGTGTGTCAACAATGAAGGCCGGAGCGACTGAGTAGGGAGGGTGTGGCTTGCGCAGACAAGCAGAACGCATCGCGTGATAGGCCAGCGTAAGCCTAGTTTTGATTATCAAGGCCTATCATGCCTCTCACTTCTCCTATGAGTGGATGGAGAGGTCACAGCAATGTGATGGATGGAGCGAATGTGTGATGTGCGCTAGCAGACGGAATGTACCACAGGGTGTGGTGGGGTGGGGGAAACACAGCGGGCGAGTTAGACCAGAGCCCTTTCTTTCTGATCGCCAACACAGAGCTGCCAGTCAACATCGCTAGCGCTAGAGAAAGTAAACTGATTCGATTTTTTATCAAGTAAGACCTAGAGGTCATGTTGAAACAAAATCATCACCAGGGGAGATGGTAAAAGGAAATGAACAGAATATCAAACTCATAGATTAGGCCTACTTTACAGTTTCCGTTGAATTTATTACTGGATCCCTTATAGCGAGAATCCTGCTATAACGGACTTTTTGCACCGGGGCTCCCCCCCCCTCGTTATAACAGGATTCCACTGTACTTTCCTCTGTGATGATAATTTTCTGTCAGCCTAGTTGGGGG